TCATATCTCAGAGATATCTTCTCCAAGTGCACACAATAAAGAAAACATGAATATAGCGACATTTCGGAGTTTCAGAGACATCATCTTCAAGTTGATCCATCTAGCATCATCTTCAGTTTGTATTATTCTTCGAATCACTCACAGCTTGAGATGAGGAACACAATCTCTCCTCAGGAAATTTCGGATCACAGCCTCTTCGAGACACACCTTTGGTACAGATGTTTGAAAGAGGGGTTGTAGGCGGGTCACCATCCAATAACACATAATAAACACTCCCCGTTGGGAGGAAATTCATGGGAATCAACTTGATTCCACCCAAGGGATGTGGATTTTATGGGCGAACAAGGAACCAAAGAAAGAAAAACAGCCATATGTGTTTTGTAAATGATTGTATTATTAAACTTTGAAATGTGGATATGGTTTATAGAAAGTATCATGCCATGTTGTTGACTGTGACCCCAATGACAAGAAATCATTTTTACGAACCTTTGTAAACGCAGAACACCATTGCCTGTGACTAAATCTGTATATTCCTTAGAAGTTAAAAAATGATATTTATTGGAACAGTGTATTATAATGAAAGCTAATTAGACGAACAATCTTGGAAATCGCATTATGATCAAACAATGCACCACATAAACTTTTAAAAGAGTAATAATTCATTCGTCAAGTAAAATCTTGTTTCTAACAAATTTGTGCAAGGATTTATTTTCCTTTAACATGTAGCGTTATTGGTATAAGTCGTTTTTCTTGACTCGGTTGGTTGCTACATTTAGTATCGTGACAATCACCATCAACTTCACCATCCTAACTCTCCTCCCCCTCCTCCTCCTCCTCCTCCTCCTCCCCTCTTTCTCTTGATACAAAGTGCTCCTACTCATGAAAGAAACATTACAAGCAGACGGTTTGGGTGAGAAGGGTCTCGTAATTTCTTTATCTTACTACCAACATGTGCTAAAGGCGTGATTTCTTTTAAAATAGTGCCTTAGAGGAGATTTCATTTTCCGTGACTAAATTTAGAGGAAAAAGGAGTCTTGAGATGAAAGTGTGACACAGTGACAGAATCAATTTGGGCTTCATCAAAACATGCCGTCAACCAAGCATGCATTTCTGCAATTTTTGTGTGTTTTGTTCGCGAGCTTGACCGCGATTGTTACAATTTTGATTCCTTCGCGTAATGCAGTAGGCGTCGAAATTGTTACTGGTAATTTCATCTTTCAATGAAAGGTCATTTATTGTTGGTAGTAGGTTTAACAGTATAAAGGTCTGAGTTTGGAGTCAAGGATTATAAAGAGTAACTGTAAATTGAAAGATTGATGGAGTGTGAACTAATCACGAATCATTTCTCACCTCCTTAGGGGAAGGGTGAAGGGCCAATGACCCCTTCTGTCAACTGTCAAATGTCAAGTTGGCTTGAGAGAGAGAGAGAGAGAGAGAGAGAGAGAGAGAGAGAGACAGGGGGTAGTGAATGGACATTAATTTTGAACCAAATTCAATATCGCGTATAATTTGAAGTACAATACTCTGCCGCATATTTACAGCAACAAATAGATTCCTTGTACTAGTACTTGATATAGGTTTTGTAAATTATTGTGAAGTCTTCGAAATCATTTAGGAATATTTTTTCTCGCCTCATTACTTTCTGTGACCATGATGGAATGAACGGGGAACAGATTATTTAAGTTTCCATTGGTCAAATTGATAAATAATTAGATGTAATGATTCATTAAAAAATGTGATAAGGTACGTGGAATCGGTGGTGTCCATCCTTAGTTACATTGACGGAAGCCCCCACTATAATGTAGTACTTTTTCGTCCACTCAAGTCGTGTGCCCCTCCCCCTAACATATTTCTTAGAATGAATCAACGCCCCCTGACAGAATTAGGTTTGCTCGAAGAACATAAAGAAGAAAAATGAATATCCATCCTGAAATCAATGCATCCATACTATTTGATTTCCTTTAAGTGCAAACCCAGTTGCTTGTTTATAACTCAGGGTTTCAAACCCTGTAGTTATGAACAAGCCATTGAAGTTCAATGCTGCGTGCAATGCATAATTATATACATGTATATAGTCCATGGGCTTGACTACGTCTTTCGTCAGCCTTCATAGCATGTAGGCCCTACAGCCAGCTAGAGTAGAGCCTTCCGTCGTGGATAGACCTGTCTTTCAGGGTATATCCTCCCCACTGATTCGGTCATGACGCGTCTTGGTTTAGTCATCATTCCCAGAACCTCTCCGCTGTGATGCTCGGCAGTAGACGAACGTGGTTTGTCCTTAGTTTCTCGTTCTACCCCTGACCCTTTGCGCAAGATGAGATTAAAGAGAGTGTTGAAGTTCTTTCTGAGCCTGTTTATTCTGTTTATGTTAGAATGGAAGAGTATCATAGAAGAAATGTCCCCTAAAAGGATTGCCCTCATGCCCTCATATTTGAAATGTGACAAGAAATAGATGAAGTGTTTGGACAAAATGTTCCAATCCAATCCAATCCAGGAATTTATAAATTGCTAATATCTAGTTGCCTAATCAAAGGCGCTGATGAGACTGAAAAACTACCAAAAATGTCTGTTCATGATTCTAACTGGGAAATACATAAAACAATGACTAATTGCAAGCAATCTGAAGGTATGTCTTTAGTTGAGTTCTGAAAGTGGATAACGTTCATGCTACATATGCGTGTAGTCCCATGCATACACGTTTCTGTGTGCATTGCATTTGAGTTTCAGCTATTGTAATAGAGTGAATCAAACTCTTCATTGTGACGATTCAAAAGCCTCACAGTACACACCAATTCATACGTACTACGTAATCTACCTTTCCTAATTGCTTTCAGACAGTCTCATTCAATATAATATCCAATGACCAGAAAAGGGACTTTTATTCCACATGATTCCTGGAACACAAAGATAGTTTGTAGGGGATAACAAATACACCGCACGCCGAATGTGGTATTGATTTGTTAAAGAATTCGTCATTGGCTCATTGTATAAAATGACCCAAACCAAACAATGACGACAACTGCTGAATGGGGATAATAAGTGATGCAGCACTTTGCCACGCTTCAGTTACTGCATTAGTTATTACAATGATATTGAGACAAATTTATTACACATGCACATAATCGTCAGCAAATTATAAGCTAAAGGGAATATGGAAAATCATGATGTAGAATGACATTATCTACAAAGGGACACGTGTACTTGTTTGAATGATGTACATGTAAGTATAAAACCCTTCCTCCATTGTTGACTCGTCCTTAAAGAACAAACAAAGATAAAATTAAACAGTGTGTTTGTTATAACCGCTAATAAAATATGGGATTAAAGTACAGGTTCCATCGTGAGTGTCATTGGATAACTTGTCACCAAGGTTACACTAAATCAATGTCTGTCTACAGGTGTTGCTTGTGACTAGGTCAAAGAAGTTTCACAGATTCTTATAAAATTGTTACCTTGCCAATTATGGCACGGATCCCTGTTTGGACTTGACCTAGGAATGAGTATATAATCATGTGCCTATGGGAGATGGCAGGTCTGAAGTATTACCTACCGTGTAAATATGTGAGGATCAATAGCCCTCACTTATCAAGAAGCCAATACACCTGATGATATGTCAGGTAGCCTGAGGCAATCGTCATTTGAAGACGTCACTCTCATTGCATATATACATCGCGTCATTTTGATTGTGTTATCACCTCCACTAATCGGATCTATAAAACAGTTGGTGTATTCGCCGGTAATTCTATGGAATTGTACGATGCCACCCTAACATGGTGCGTCAAACAACGCACCCATCGCTGACGCAATCCTACGTCAGGAAAATGACGCAACGTGTGCAAGGGGCTTGAAAGACGCATGAGTTGTATCATTCGCTGAACATTTGAATTCATTCAGCTTGTCAAATGTAATAACGAGTGCTGTATCATTTTTTCTCGCAAAGTTGAATCGGAGTATCAAGGTCTTGGCAACTTTCGACTCCCTGCAAGGAATGAGATAGGGAAAGAAGAATTGGTAAATAAACATTTAGCATCATCACTGTGACATCCCCATGTGTACAGCGTACTAAAATGAGACTTTGTGAAAGTGTTGGTGTCATATATCTAGCTATCCTCATATCCTGCTGTCCTGTCAAAACGAATAAAATACGAATTGTTTCTCAAAATTTATGCCCCAAAATAGTAGACGTCGAAGCCGATGGGTAAAAAAAATGTTTTAAAGTAATATTTATATGTTTTAGTGCGATAGTAGCTATAAAAAGGGATCAATATTTTTCCATGACACTGTGTGGATATTGTTATATCATATTGTTATATTGATTTGTTAAGAGATGCAATCAAGGTCGGTGTAGAACAAAGATTGTAACTTAATATCGCTATTTTATTTCATTACACAACAGTCAATCTAGCACTGATATTGCTGTAAAATTGAAGTTTAGTGAAAAGAAAGGTTCAAAACTAACACAAGATGCGGAAAAAGGGTTGTTGATATTGGTTAACTTGATCTACCCCTAAACAAATGTAAATTAATGACTTACCATCAAGAAATATTGATCGTTTGCAGTAATAAATCTGGGTAAACAAAAATTGTCTTTAATATAGTTTCTGTTTATTTTTACATAAAACTTTCGGTCACAAATAGTGCTTTGTATAATATTGAACGAATTGTTGAAGCTCTCTGAAATCAATGTCAAATAAGTAATGCTTTTTGTTTGTTTGTTTATTATCTCTTCTTTTTTGTGTGTTTATGGAGGATCTTATGATAAAGTGCGCTTGAATGTTCAGGTTTCTTTGAGGAAAACAAATCGAAAGTTAAAGAACTAGGATGGTTGGATACACACCCTTTGCTTGACCACACAGCATGGATACTTTTCGTATAAAGTCGACTTGATTACATCCAAAAGAACAACAGGCTACCATCCGATGATTTACATTAGCCTTTATCCATCTCCCGCCACGATTCAATCACCTCTATCTATTATCTCTTTATATGTTCTGTTGCAGTGTTCAAATTTCCATCAGTGCGGGAGCCGGGTCATAGTGCACCATGAACTCTGGAGGTCGGGTGTGCTGGCGGGGAGTCTCGACAGAGAGTCTTCAACCGAGACCGTGTCATTGCGACGGCCGAGATCCACCGCCGTTCGATTTGGTCTTTCCAAGTTCCGCGGGTGCAGAATACTCAACTGTGGCGCCCTCAACGTGGGCCAACGATTCTCTGTTACCAGGGCAGACGACAGCGCTGCCGACACGAGAGTGGAGAACGGGCGGTGGTGGTGGTGGTGACATTGCGACCATCTCTTCATCAGAGAAACCAGGAGGGAATGTAGCAGCCAGCATGCACCCGAGTAAGAACACATCTATGTGTAGTGGGGTAGTGCCATAGTGACGGGTAGTTGTTGAAAAGGCACCTGGTGGTAGAGTGGAGGAGGGGGAGGGGCACGGATACAGGTCTTACTTGGACACTATAGGTCTTAGTTTATTAGTGAGGTTGTGGTAACGGGCTGTATCATGTCACATGTATTCACCTTTTAATAATAATAATAATAATATGTTCCGCGCCTAGAAACAAAGTATTAGGCGCATTATAAATGCGAGCTATTATTATTATACTTATTTAATATGTCACTCTTTCTCTTACCTCTTTTAACAATTTTTTAAATTTTAATAATGGAAGTCGAGAGAGCTTGTATAAGATATCAAACATAATGGTCCACTGATTGGAGAGGAACCTGTTGAAGGTTCGCTGATTTATTCATTTTGAAACGATAAACACAAATTTAAATCATAAGTGATCTACTGACTAGAAGGAATACATTAGAATCTTAAAAGGTAGTCAACCTATTGGTAATTGAAGACGTTTAATATATCTGTATTTTCATTTCTCTCTTTTTCTTCCTTTGTATGTGTACATCCAGGATCCGTCAAGCTGCTGATAGGTGCAAGCATCACGCTCTTCATCATCATCCTCTTTCTGGGATGTCTTTTGTACTGCTTCACGAAAAAGAAGAAAAAGAAACGGTAATAAGGAATGAGTCATTGTTTGATCAAGCAGACTATGTCCACATTCAGACAACGCCTCCCTGATGCAAGGCTCGAAAAACGGATTATTGACAGAAATGTTTCATATTACTATTGACGATGTTCTATTGTAACTATCTGAAAGGCATAGGCGTATGGGCGCAGTTTCACTAAGTAGGAGTGGGGAGGGGCGCTGACGCATGTTAAACGAACACAATATCTGTTTAAAATTTTCTTTCTATCGGGCGAGTAAAATGTTGACAGGCTTTCGTGAAAATGTGATCTTGTCATCCAATGTATTGAATAAGACGTAAATACTTCAACTACCGCACTTCACGTCCAAAAATGATATTTGTAAGTTCAAATTCGAAAGAAGCAAAAAGAAAAAGGTTCTCACATTTGGCCCGGGATGGCACACATGCCCCCATACATGTTGATTAGGAATTGCTTTGAGAAGTTGCTTTCTTTTAAGTAAACCTTTAAGGAACTACAGTTTTCATTGTTCAACAGAAACCTATTCAAGCTAATGGTCACGGATGTTGTGACGTGCCTATATTGTTATGTGGTTTGATTTCCTGGTTGATCAGGTGCGCGAAACTTTTAGAAATAGGTTATGAATTATAAATGATGAGTTAGATTTTGATACTGTAAATCGGTCTAAATCATCCACACTGTCTTGTTGCCTAATAATGTGTTTCCAAAGCTGTGGTTATACACTTGTTGATATTGTTCGAGAACTAGAAAAGAAATAGGGTCCATTCATCACTGAGAATAAGGACCAGCAAAATATCTTCCACCTTATCATAACTGCATGAAATAAAATTTTGAAAGCACATTGTACGATTAAAATAAATGTCTACAGGAAAATCACAGGTTGATAACAGGACTTATGCGCTATAATATCGACTTCACCTCACTATAGACAAGTGTACAAGTTTGACTATACATGATAAAAAGGCAGTTTGTTACCAGTTCAAAAGATATGAGATTTTTAATATTGTACAACGTCTAGAAAACATAGCTACATAGCAAATAATAGCTAACATAAATGGAACAACATTGTCATGGTTTATCTTATGTCTCTCCCAGTTTTTTTCTTACCAAGATTTGACATTTATTTTTCTTTCCACATCCCCCCTCTCTCTCTCTCTCTCTCTCTCTCCAGACAATATGATGTCCAACGGCGTGGACCTGACGGATGCGAGGCTGACCGAGTCCCCTACGACGTTCCCGCGACTAACCACCAACCGGACAGCAAGAACGCGTTCCCTCTTTTGCAGATCGACGAACCTTCCCATCCGAACAATGAAATACCAACAACACGAGACGCTATATCAGGTACTGACTCACCATTCGTTGTCAGAAACTTTCCTGTGTTGAGAAAAGTTAAATCTGCTGTTGTAGGCATCGGGTCACCGAAAAAAGTCACAAGACCGGTCAGTCGGCATGACTCCACAGCTCCACTCGTCGAACACCAAGCATCCATTTTCCGCGATCGATGGAAAGATAAATCGCGAACAGCGGCAGACGATATCGACGCTAACCGTTTATCGGCAGACAGTGATAATTCTGATGTAAGGCATCCCGATCGATTAACGACGTTGAATGAGAACGATGTGAACGTACCAAATGGCAAGCTACCCACCAAGTTAGAGACACTTCCATCGAGGATGTATCCTGCACAGAGTGTGATGGAGACTCCATCGAGCAAAAGATCCAATAAGAGACCAGATTCATCAACACCTTTATTCGATAGCGATTCAATATCAAGTTCAGAAGCATGACGAAGTATATTGACTGCTCTCGTGAAGGCTACTTTACACATTACAAACTGTTTACGACTGTATTTTGAAGTAGAAAAATATCAATTGGATTGAATATTACATTTAAAGATATAGATTACTTCTTTTTCTTAGAGAGGTTTTGAATTGTCCAATAAATCGGTAGTCGTGACACCTATTTACGGTCGCACCTGATCGGCCGATTTCGCAAAGGGGAATGATATAATATCCCTTAATTCCAGTGTTTTATTCATATCACGAAGCGGGACCTCAGCCGGAACAAAACCACCCCAAAAAATTATAATCACATTTTGAAGTTTTAATTCTATTTAATGTCTTACAAAATTCGGTCGTAATCAGGTCTTAAAGATAGTGTGGGATGCCTCAATGTGCTCGGTGAGACTGCAATAAATCATTGGAAAACAAGAATAATGTCAAGATCAACATTATTTATTGATAAAGTACAAATATCATAAAGAACTAATTTGAAATGAATGCAATATTTTACACATTTCAAATACATGTAAGCCTATTTATTTATTTTCTAGCTATGTGTAGCTTAACTGTGACGGACTCAAATGATTCACACTGTTAGCTATTGTTATGACTATTGGTCATTTAAGATAAAGTTGAGTTCTGGTCATTCAATAATTGTAATGTGAAAGAAATCAGGTGGAAGCGATTGGAAAGTTTGATCATACAGTACATAAGTATTGGTAATACTGTGTGGTTTTGGAATCATGAAGTTATAAGAAATTGGCCCATTCTTGCTAAGAGTCACATGCACTGTATACAAAGAAAAGTGCATACGCGATTACATTAAGATGCGGCATGAAATTGTGGTTCATAACCTTTAGCTGTCTTGTCATATTTCGAAAATGATGGTATTTGAAGAGCCATCCTTTTTAATGGACATTCTTCCTGTGATATCCTTCTAAACTAACATAAAAAGAAAGAAAAATATCACGAATTATGTTTCACCTTTCCCAGAACTCAACCTTCTCTTTTAAAAAGCGTGCGTTGAGCAGGTAGGCATATCAAAGAGGATTGTTGATGAATATACAAAGTGGGAAATGTAGGATTATGAAATTGGTAGGAAATCTCAGTTATTCACGATCAAAATATAGCCTCGAACAGCTTAGAAGGTCCGACTTTGAGGAACCGCGGTACCGTATGTCACTCACTGTGTTGTTCGTGCTCTGCCTGTACATCATCACTGCTGTGATATATTATACACCTTTTTTTAAACACGGAGTTACTGTGCCTGCAAATGCTACAATTCACAAGTAAAATTGGATGCAGAAATTGAAAGCCCGCGTCAATTTTCGTACAACACACCCTTTTCACTGTATTGCCTTATCTGTTTGGAACAATTGCACCCATGTCATACGAAACCAAAGACGACATATCCGTGATGAGTAATACCTTTATATCACCTTGCAAGGGATGGACTTGTGCACCGGCGACAATTGCTTCGATTTCTTGACACAAAGGAAATGTTTTACTTGTACACCTTGGGGCCGTTCCTTGAAACCGTCTTAAGTCTAACTTCTTAGACATCCCATTGGAACGTGTGTTATATCAGGGATGTCCCCGAACTTAAACTTATGGCGGTTTCGAGAAAATGACCCCTTAACTCTAACCCTGTATCTAACCCCAACACTAAAACTAAACCTAATTTAAAAACCAATTGCATCTGTAAACCCTAAACGTGTTTTTTTACCAAATGAATCCCGGAGCAAATGTCGCAGGAGCACAATTTAATGTCGCATCAACACTTAACTTACCTCGTCCATTAGTGTCTTATAACCGTTGCACATTGCGTCATTTATACTGCGTTAAAACATGCGCCAATCACTCTTGCGAGGTCAGTTAATGCATACGTCAGTAATTCAACGCAATGGTTTCACTCTTCATTTATAATACCACCGTTTTCTTTAATGACGGCACACTCATATTGTGCGTCAAAGATCACTAGCCGATGGCGCAGTCTTACGTCATTTGTGACGCCTCGGGTGCAACGGGCATCCCTCATAGGGTATTTGTAGCATTTCACGTAATATGTAAATCAGGTGGTAGTTCAAAAAATCGGGCATTCACCTGGCAATTGTTGCTCACCTACAGATAATTTTCTGAAATAAGTTTCGATTCTATTAGGCATAATACCGTAGGTGTATCGCCTCATTGCATTGTAGCGTATTGTTTTTAAGAAACCTTGTATTTTTGAACGCGTCAATGGAAACTCACAATGGACGAAGAAGATACATTTGATGATAAAAGCTTGCAACTCAAATAATTAATCAAGGCGCTATACCGTGTATTATAACTGCTGACAATGAATTAATTCACTAGTATACGCTTCCGAGGAGCATTACAGCCAAACTCGATTTTACAGGCGCTCACAATTATGTTCTCATCCTATACCGGGTTATGATAATTAAAATACCCGCGTTACATTTGGACAGCGCATACTGATTATAATTCTATGCGCATTGCAATTAAATGAAATCAGTTTACATCAATACAACACTTTTTCGAGAAAAGGTATGTCTCCAGTACTGTCTTAAAGGTATCAAAAATAAATATTTACCCGTTTAACACATATTTACTTACGGAACAAATTCAATTTGTAGACAGCCACATATCTGTTTTTCAATTTTTATATATGAACGTTTGTAAAACCACTGTCTTTATCGCAAGGAAGAGAATACAACATGGAGTCAAACCTGCTTTAGTGTTTGATCAAAGCTGTTACGACTTAAGGCAGTATCATTCATAACGTATCTACCTTTGACGGATCAGGCATTTGCTCAATTGTTATCATCTGTAAAGCGTTGTTTTGCTTGTAAATATTTTGTCACTATTTATTACAAATAGATAATTATCTATCTTTGAAAAGAGTTATCCTTTTATAAGAACGGCCGAGAGAAATATTTTTCAGCTTTGTAATTAAAGTTAAAAAATGACGTGCCTTTATGAATTATGATTATTATGCTGATTTTCATTCGGTTAGAGACGAAAATAATCAACTTTAAACCAATATCATGGCATTTGAGTCTTTATTTGTTTCCTTTGCTATCTTGTGTTTGGAATTATCAGTACATTCATTACATCAATATATTAAGAATATGATATCATAATTACCATTTATTCAAAACATTCCCTTTTCCATTTATTTTACGATTTGTGTCTCTTGGTCTTTTGTTCACTATCCGTTTTCAAATAATCTTTATTTCATATCTTCTTTTCTTCTCTTTCTTTCGCTTTATCGCTTTATCTCTTTCTCTCTCTCTCTCTCTCTCTCTCACTCACTCACTCTCTTTCGCTCTCTCTCTTTTTCTCTCTCTCTCTCTCTCTCTCTCTCTCTCTCTCTCTCATTCTTTATTCCTCTTCATCTATCTGTTTCTCTTTTTGTGGGAAGTTTTCCATTATTTCAGCTTTCCATTTTTTTTTCTACTTTTTGGGAAATCTAATTTAACTGAATACATTACGGTAATACATCATTCATAAGAGACTAAATATTGATTTTAAAATGAAACAATATATCTATCATAACAAGATGACACTATATATTTAGCCACTTTTACGTTTAATAGTTTGGCAGTATGCAAAAAATAACACGATTTTATTTCAAAATCGTTAAAGAATAAAAACTATATTTTTTTGGTGAACAACAATTCGGAAAGTTGTTCCAATTATGTCAAAAAAGACTAACCACTTCATCAATATGGGATTCACATAGATCTATAAAAATATGCAAGTTTAAGATATTACTTATAATTTTTGTTGACTCTCTCATCAACCTGTTCGTCTGACTTTCCTTCTTTTACACATAAAAAAGAGAACTGATTGCAATCGAATGACAATGTCTAGCGCCCTCTCAGATTTGTTTTCACCAGTATCATATTGGAGCTCACCACAGAGCCAACTGTTTCTCTTTTTCTCTCATGCTCCAGACCTAATTTTAAGTACTGCGATATGTCTGATGAGTAGAAAAAGAGGGAAGGGGGTGATGGTTGGGTGGGGATGAGGGAGGGTCCTTCCGAGTAAAGGTCCCCCCCCCCCACTTAGTATTGATCACAGGGTCCTTCTAGAATTAAAGGGTTTTGTTTAAAATGTTTGCCATGTGTTTGTCAATGGATAATTGTTGTTTTAAACATCTTGACACTTTTTCCAATTGATTGGTGTTTATTCTTTTTTTCTTCTTCTTCTTAAATATCCTTAACGGTTAACAACGAAATAAGTAAAACAGTTATTAAACCTCAGATAGACTTGAGATTGCACAGAAGTGACGCCCCATTACCGTCTCCGATCCGATTGAAAACCAACCGATTCTTAACTATTCGGGTTATTGCAGTTGTGTTGTTTGGTGTTTTAATAGTAATATCTGAGATTTGTAAGGCGCCGAATTCACTTGAAATCAAGTGCTCAAGGCGCACCTGTGAAACAAAAATACCCCCCCCCCCCATAAGAAAAAAGAAGAGATCAAATAACAGTATCTGCATTATAAACAAGAGAACATATTTAAGATAGAACAAACAAAAATGATAAAACAATAATAACTATACTCCGAATTAATTTGAAATACTTCAACCGATCTGCTATTTCGAATCTCTCGAGGGAGAGCATTTCACAAGGAAGGCCCTGTATGAGCTAAGGTCCCCCCCCCCCCCCACTTAGTACTTGGCACTCAGGAAGAATTAGAGTATTTCATTATACAGAATAAGACAGAGATATCATTCATGACGATCATAATATCTTGAACAGGCGATTGGCATCGATCATCAAAGCCATGTCATAGGTGAAATACCGAAAATGATACCAATATTGTCTTTTTCTTGCTCAACTAAAAATATGTAAGGTAGGGCATTTTTGTCTGTCAGCAGTAAGTCGCCCACTCTACGTTCTCTGAGCTCTGACTGTCGTTTCTTGACATGAAAGCGGAGCTAGAACTTCCTGAAAAATAACATGTCGGACCTATTCCCGCTTTAAACAAAAAGCCGAACACACAACTTAAAATCCCTGAAAGTCCTTTTTCAAATTCTGAAAAACATTGTGCTTGCATCAACACTCCAACATAACCGAAAGTCTTACCGAAGCTGTGACATCATAACAATCCATTTTTAGAATTTCTCAATATTTTCTTCATTTTCCGAAAGAGCCTAAAAAATAATGTCCGAATGTTGAAAACTAATTGGAGATGTTAAGTATTGGCCGAGATATGACCACCTGACTAAGATATATGCCATATTTTATTCAGATGATCATATCTCAGCCAATACTTAATATCTTCAATTAGTTTTCAACATTCAGACATTATTTTTTATGCTCTTTCGGAAAATGAAGAAAAGATTGAGAAATTCTAAAAATATTGTTTTTCTTAATGACGTCACAGTCTTCTCCACTCTCATGTGTATAGCAAGGTAAGATCTTCGGGAAAGAAGATGATTCTATACTTGAATGTTGAAGTATCTACCAATGTGTCAAATTTCCGTTGATTTTACCTTTTATAGGTGACCCTTTCCCCAAATGTGCCTATTCACCCCCACCCCCAATCCCCTACCCATGCACTTTAGAAGACGCCGCCCCTGAGAGGGAGAAGGGAAATCCCCTTTTCTTCCCGGCCTTGGAAGTAAAGGGTGTTTCCGCTTAACCCGAGATGAACCGAGATGAACCCGCAGTTCTCTAACCCTCGGTCTGCATGCATCGTACAGGTACGCGGGTATAGTGTTATATACATGATTGTTTTATCAACATAATAAAAATAACCAGGACAGTCCGGCAAATCAATAATAAACTTGTTAAAAAACACCTCTGAAATGTTTTGTATTATGATAAAATCTTTCGAATAAACGAGGTGTGCTTTGTAACTAGTTTGTTGCGTGGTAGTGGCAGGCAAAACCTTCTAGTCGGACTTTGGCCTTCAGTTAGCTCCGCTTAGCTAGTAGTGCATGTGGCTCGTGCTATCCCCGATGCGATGCATGGGCAAAGAGCGAAGCTCTGTTTGTTCTTGTAGCGCTCTGTCAATTTGCATTTCTAGACGAAATCTTGATTAAATATAACAGGAGCAGCATCAAAAACATTGGCTGAACATTCAAGGGATAAATGCACAGGAGTTAATCACTCACGAGAATTAGTAATCGATCTATGAGGAAGTAAACGCCTGACTGTGTTGTAAACAACAGTGCCTGAATTCACGTGAGAAATACCAAGCTTCATGGATGCTATGATGATTTGCCCATAGTGAATGCTTATGTACGAGTGACATGTAAGTATTGGAGATTCTCCGAACATCTAGTAGCTATATGTGTATCATTTGGTTCTCATTATTACTATCTATAGTATACACGGGATCTTCTGTAATATGAAAACGAACCCTCCGAAACAGATGCCTCTATTGTCGATGATTCACACGGCCATGAGCATGATTTGTAGGCTCACATCAACATTTACTTTCCCATAATGTGTTTGTCGGTTTCCATACTTGCCTATGATGACATGTTAGACCTAATCCCTGAAATTATGGAATAGTTTGAAAATCTTTTTTAAACTCAAATGAGGTTTTTGGAAAATAATGATATGATACTAACATGACGAAGAAAGTGACGTGATAGGGAAGCAAACAAACACAATCATTATGGGAACGTAAATGTAGCATTTTTGCGTGTGGTTGTGCAAAATGGTATCCTCAAGTGGAGGAAATCGGTCATAATAAACCATCCTTTGTTCGTGTCTCAGTGTTAATCTTGAAGTTGATACTCCATTCACAGAAAAGAGAGGACACCAAACCGACATCAGACCTATAAACAATCTAACAAACAAAACAAACGAAAAGTTATTACGAATGGACAATAATTGGTCGGTTTTTAGTCATTATCGAGTCTGTGCTATGACCGTGTTACGAGCTACGTTATATTCATCTGCTAATACACCATTGCCCATACCCTTGGAATAATCGTTCTCACCTTTTCATCAATAATTGTCACTTTATGATTTATTCTGGATAGATAGAGATTATATCTTCTCAGAACTTTATCGATCAAACTATATGGCTATTTAGATTGATCAATACAGTTCTGAGAAGATACACACTTTATTCTTATATTACCATTATCATAGTAAATTATGTAAGAAAACTTTAGTCTAGTACTTCAGGGGAAAGCTTCTTGAATACAAGTTTTGACATTTTCCTTTCCATGAAGGCATGACAAGTCAGTTAGTTATACCTTTTTTCACACAAAATATGAAACAATACAATTGTAAAGGAAGCTAAGTGAATTTAGAAACTCCTGTCCATTTTATATTACAACTGTCCTTTAAGATCATTGTTTGTTGGCGAAATGAAAAAGGGCTACTGAAAGCAATTCTGTTTATGTTTAAGCAAGGGCAATTAAATTGGGCTGTACTTCTCTAAAAGCCAATGTGTATACAGAACATGACAGAATTGTATAAATGTGAGTGAAAGGCGCAATTAATTCTACAACGTGGCTAGATATTGCAGTAATTCAAATAATGTTGCAGGTTTCACATCCTGTTATTATTCCACTTGTGTGTTGGTGTACTTTTAAAAGTACGTAACCTTTCACGAAATAAAAAAAGTCTAATACTAGATTGTCTTTGAGGACTTAATTACCAACGTTGTATAAAGGCTTTAAAATACACCTGCATAAAATGTTGAATGGAGCAGGGACAGGATGAGGTGATAAACTTGAGAGAGTATTTTTTCGTTCTCGAATATAATTTTTTTCTTTCTCTTTTTAAATGACACAAGGGAAAATGCCATTGGAATTTGACCTTCTTTCTCCTCGCATAATTATGTGCATTCTATATATATTCTTCATTATTATATCCATTCCGTAACAATATCGATTCTGTGATATTGAAGTTATAAAACTTGGAAACATAGTATGTTTGCATATTTCTGCGGGCGAATAAAGGTCCGAACGTTGAATCTACCTTATGATCATAATCTATAGTGTGTGTTGCTAAGACAGATATGCAATAACAAAAATTAAAGAAAGGTATAACGCACGATTAGTTGATCTGTAGGTATCACGTAATATCAATCTCTCACTCGCGTAAAAATAATCAATATTGTGCAATAAAAAACATTCCATTGACATTACCATGGGTTTTCTTGCTCAAACCCAATGGCATTATACTGTAAGTAAGGGTATTTCCCAGATTTACTACAAAACTAAAACTTCCTCTCATCTTTGTTTTTCATTTCCTTTTCTGCTTTAAAGGTAAAGACCAGTATTGGAAACGCCCCAATTTCAAAAAATGAAATGGAAGCTCTCATTACCAATCATGTGAAAGAATATGTTTTGACTAATACATGATGATAACAAATTTGCCGGGAAACCACCTACTAATTCATATATTTTGTAAATTTGTTTCTCTCATGGTCTGTGAGAGATATAGGGTAGTCCCATATACATCTTTCTGTGTATAGTGCTTGTAACTTTACGAAGAATGGGCCAAATTTCTTATCATTTTGATGATTCCAGAACCTTGCAGATGCTAGATGCTAGATGATCAACCTTTTCTGATCGATTCCACAACGTTTCTTTCACAATGCAATCGCATGACCATAACTGGTCTTTACCTTTAACCTGCAATTTCTTTTAATATAGAGATGATATTCTAAAACGTTCACAACCAACCGGGATATATAACAGGAAATGAACTAGCTCAGACATAGGTACAAATTTTAACAACAAAATAATTCATGCCCCTTGTAAATTTGATGGTAACTCAAGAATGAAAGGTGTACTGGTTGGATTAGGAACTTCGTTGAATACTTTTATATAGATGTGAGCTTTATTATGTCACATTCTCGAGAAACAGAAATCGGGACAAATCAATTTGAATTGTACAAAACTTGGTAAGAGTTTGAATATTTTAGTTGTTGGGAACTCCGGTGTTAACTCTATGACCTCATGTAATGCATACCGTTTGTTTCGTGGTATTTGTATACACTTTAATACTTGAAAAATTTACTTAATCTACAATTGATTTATCTAACATTTACCATTGTACAGATCTCTCCCCCCTCCCCCTAAACAAAGGAAGAAAGGGAGGAAAGGTCCGCGTGATTTTAATCTATGTTTTGAAGCATTGCTCGTAATGTCATGATGTATTCCAATATTTTTCAGTTTACCCGTCAATTGTTATTACCATTCATGTGTCTCATTTTCGTCCGCAGATTAAACAGCATTGGTCCAAACATGGAGCCTTGTATGAATTCAAACGGGACGTATAACTGCTCCATAGGTTTTCCCGTATTCAGTGTAACCCAACCATCTTGGTGTTTAGAATCTACGACAGGTATGTCAAGAGAAAGAAGTGAATTATTTTTACTATTAAATTTACAAAAAAAGTGTAATCAATTAATAATGAGTGTCACGATAGTATTCATGATTATAATGAAGAATTCAGAATCAATTTCAACTTATATTTTAGTAAAGTACATTTTATTTGTTAGTTTCATTATAGTTTAAAGAGATACCATAACATTCAGATGCAGTTTCACTTTCTGTTTCAGCTAAGTTAGGTTAATAGGTTCATTTTTTTTCTTCAATGAATATCAATTAAAAATCACAACTAATGAAAAGTGCATATTCTTTGAATGATATGGAATACAAATTAAGCAACAACACAACATTAGGCCGGGGACGGGCAGTTGTAACTTTGTCCCTCTCCGACAAGCCGACAACGCGAATTTTGTTTTCTTTAATTGATTTATTATACTGCTCAGTGCACACGAGCTCGTAACACTTTCCCTAATATGACACATAACCATCTAAATTAGAATATATGATTCTTCTTGTTAATGTTCTTTTTTTCCTACTTATCAGTAACCAAGAATTTAAACTAAACGGCATGCATGAAAATATGTATGTATCTTTGTGCAATCTTTGTGACAGTCTACATTCCACTTTAGCTAACATAATGTTGCGCAAGGGAATCTCATATAACCCGAGCTTGACGGTGTCACATGTTTAGGCCTAGATAATTTCCCGAGGTTCCGAGCTCCGACTAACATGATTTTACCAAAATGACGAGTTGTGATACCATACCGGTTTTGTTGTCATAGCAATCAGGGGGATCCAGAATTTGAGAATGGGGGACACAATTTTTTAAAAACTGATGAGAAGAAAGAATAGATGGCACATTATCTCAGGTGCCTTTTAGGCAGAAAATTGGAAAGGGGCACATATTATTTGGTTTTATTACCAGTTTTATTAACTTCCACATACCTGTCTTTAAACAAATACATAACATAATTCTAAAAAAACGTATCAATGTAAAACACAAACATTAACATTACATACTCATTACAATGGTAATAAACAATATTAAATGAATTTAAATAGTCTACACAAAATAATGGAAACATAAGTGGAGGGGATCTATTTAAAGCAAGGCTTGTATTCTATAAACCTCTCGGTGAAAAAAAAGTTTAGTCACAATCTAGATAATAACAAACTTGGTAGAAAAGACACTTACTTTAGCACTATAGGTAAAAGTGGGTTTCACTTCTTAAATAGGAACTAAAAGCAACTTACAGAGATAGTCTATGAGCAAAAGTAATTCGAAAAAAATATATAAATAATGCGGTTGAACTAAATCCGAAAGGAATAAACTTGTCCCGATGGAAAAAAATTTTCTTTCTTTTTTATTGTTCTCACTAATCATCATAATACGAATGCGTAATTCTGGTATAATAATGAACTGGATGACATGTAATGCAACCAATGCTCACTCTGAAACATGTAAATTATTCATAATAACCGGCAGGGCTATTCCTAAACACAACACCATGCTTGGTATCAAAAACACATCTTAGGTCCAATAAAATATCGAATATGCCTAATTAGGGCAGATTTGAAGAGAGAGTGTGAAAAAGGGTCAATACATCAAAATATTAAACCAATATTTTTCATGAATTTCGTAAAGTTTTGTTTGTTTCTATAACTTATTTACACGAATATGATAAATCTATCCATGCGCTAGAAAATTGTCTTCACTGTTATACCCAGTTTGAAAGATCTTCAATACACTCCGTTTTTATTGTTTTTATGTGTAAGCCCTATATCAATTATTATGAAAAATGTAGTATCTACTTAGCATGATGTTACGTTATGAGTTTGTATTTTTATTTCGAAGAAGAAACTTTATTGGTATGCACATACACTGTGAGGACTGATCATTGCTAAATTATAAAGTGACAACACTTCTTATATGTTAGATCAAACATTTGTAACTGTGTATAGAGTTGGATCCAGCAATATTGAAGATGAAATTCTTATTCCTCAGACCTGTACTACAATTATTTAATTTCGAGTGTGCTTTACGTGTACGTTGTCGTTGATAAATTTGAATTTTATTCTGTACTTTGTATTCTGTTTTTAACATGATCCTAAAGAATTTTAAGATATCAACTCACGGGCAATTTCAATACTCTTTGGTATAATATAATATAAATAACTCATATCGCGGTCATCTCGGTAACAGGTATCTTAATATCATGATATCGAACCAATATTATTAATGAATTCCGTAAGGTTTTGTTTGCTTCTATAACTTGTTTACATAAATATGATATATACATATATATCCATGCGCAAGAAAATTGTCTTCACTGCTATACCCAGTTTCAAAGATTTACAATACACTTCGTTTTTATTGTTTCTATGTGTGAGCGTTATATCAATTATATCAACTATCACAGATGAGCCTTCAACAACCATCACAGATAGTATTACTACTTTGGTATCGAATATTACAACATCCCTCTTTACGGAGCCAACTACCAGTAGCAGAGGTAAAAATGGTCAGATTATGTTTAATGAGAAGTTTTTAAGTTTTGGTAAAAAAGGGGGAAATTGTCAGCCTTTCTTTTTGTGTATATCAGTTCGAAAGAGTATCATAGTAAGTATGAATAATGACTTATACAAATCAACTTATGTAGACTCGACACACTTGATTTATTAAAAAAATGGTCTTCATTAATGAATATATGGTTTTGATATATAAATATGCGCAAAAAAATTGACTTCACTGTTATACCCAGTTTCAAAGATTTACAATACACTTCGTTTTCATTGTTTTTATGTGTGAGTGTTATATCAATTATATCAACTATCACAGATGAGCCTTCAACAACCATCACAGATATTATTACTACTTTGGTATCGAATGCTACAACATCCCTCTTTACGGAGCCAGCTACCATTAGTACAGGTAAAAATGGTCAGATTATGTTTAATGAAAAGCTTTTAAGTTTTGGTTTTAAAAAAGGGGAAAATTGTCACCCTTTTCTTTTTTATATATCAGTTCGAAAGAGTATCATAGTAAGCATGAATAATGACTAATACAAATCAACTTAAGTAGACTCGACACACTTGATTTATTTAAAAAATGGCCTTCATTAATGAATAATTATATGGTTTTGATATATAAACTTTTGGTATAAACCGAGAAGGGTTGGGAGGGCGGGGGGGGGGGTACAGTCCTTATAGTGCATCTTACAATCGGGTAGAGAGGGGAGGGGGATTTGATAGGTTCTTATAGTACAGGTGCATATAATATGTTTGTAATATTGTGTATTATAGTTGTACATATATAATGTTCATTCCATATTGTGTGTTATGCTCATGTCTGTTGAATAGACCAGTTCACGGTTAGCACATGGCTGCAATGACCCCGAATATCCACAGAACTTCAAAACATGAAGAGGTCCCACCTTGTACATTTTGAAATCATCACTCCTACAGCGATGGAGATGCTACATACTGTACTTAGCATTTCATGCTAAATATATTACTCATTGCGGATGTAGTATCGAAAATAATATCGCTAGTGATATTCGTTTGTCTCGCAATGTGGTAGACCAACGAATATCACTAGCGATATTATTGACCACATTGCGAGACAAACGAATATCACTAGCGATATTATTTTCGATACTTAGCCTTTGTTTCCCCTTTATAAAGAATACTTCCACTTGTGTATTATGGAGTGCTCTGCTTGTGCATAAATGAATAATGATTACATAACTTTCATGAGCACGTATCCAGTATTCCGTCTCAGTGTATTTCACAATTTGTTCTGCAAAGACCTTTATCTGCTCATGCTCAGACTGCAACCGACCTTTCTTTCCTTGTTTCTCTTGTTCCTTTCCTTATTATGGACCTCTACGAAGAACAGAGCCATTATATTAATGACTCTGAATAGGGCAACTCAGCCGTTTAATTGTTTGAAGTACATGTTTCTATCATAATTTGTTTTTTTCATAAAAATCATGTTTTTTATATGTAAAGTAAAACCAAACCAAACAACATCCACCAAGTAGAGCGAGTCAGTTCGATTGAATTTTCTGTTTGTTTAATATCCACCCATGTTTATGTCTCACTGCATAGTTTTTAACAGAGGTTTTGGGTACTGCATTGCGTATTTGTCTAGAATTTCATTTCCTTATTCACTTCCTTGTCATTAGAAATTGTTGGGACTTGGGAATACTATCAATACTAATATACGTAGAGACTTCAGCTATTACAATGTCTGCTTTATTAACATTATGTGCAATCAACTGTAACTCCTTCTCACTTCGACCCCCTCAGCCCCCTCCCTCTCTACCTGTCATTCTTCCCTTCTCGTTGCTGTACTTTTGCATGACCAGGTACTCCCTAATTTATGTATTTTGCTTGTACATCTACTTCAATTGTCAGGGCTCATGAAAGGCATCAAGCTTTGTTTATCTTGGGGTCCTGGCCAGTTATGTTTAAAATAAGTTCATATTTCTGTATGTATGTTTTAATGTATAATGATTTAATTTGTATTTAGAACTGAAAATAAATAAATAAATGAAATAAATAAATGAAATAACAATCATACAATTATTTTCAAAAATCAATTTCATATACATCCACAGGACGAAAGGTTCGACAGGTTACCTTACCTCCTGTAACCTGTGGAAGTGGGCGAACATGACAATAATATTTAAAGTAAAATAAAAAATGAGTTATTGCATTATTGTATTGAAACTGCCCTATATGGTTGATATCTTAAAATTTATAGTATTACTGACGTTATTATCATTATTGCTATTATCATTATTATTACAATTATTATTATTATCATTTTCATTATCATTATTATTTATATTATTATTCAATATTTCATTTCATTTATTCAACAAGTATAAAAACAATTTACAATGAAAATACAATAAACAACATACAATATAATGGTTAGAACCCCTAAGAAGCAGACATCTGCTTGTAATCGGGGCCCTGCAAACAAACAATAACAAGATAATGCACATAAATTAACAATACAAAATAAAAGACTTGAATAATACAAGTACGCACCCGTACATTAACACACACACGTCCATAAAAAAAGGTTACAGAGAAAGAATAGAAGGAAGCGAAAAATAGGGCAGAAAGAGATAAAAGTAGAAAAAAGATGGGAAAGAGAAGTACCTACTCAACCATGGATTGAAAAATACTTTTTTTTTATGCATTGACTTATATCTGATAACTGTAGAACTGGATCTTAGGTCATGATTCAAGGAATTCTATTCCCGTACCCCAACAAATGATATAGAATTATACAGTGAAGTTGAACTACAGAGTGGGTGATGTAAATTTAGACGTTGACGAGTGGGGTAATTGTGAATGGAAGAATTTTTGGAACATATTATTAAAAACAGATGGTAACAGGTTTTTATGAAATTTAAACATAAATACACATGTATTAAGTTTGATCAAATCATATACAGGAATAATTTTCAGTTTAATAAATAATGGTAAACTTGGAGGCATATAATGAGTATTTGTTATTAACCTAGCTGCACGTTTCTGTAACATATAAATCTTGAACAGTTTTGTTTTGTAAGTATTACCCCAAATGATATTGCAAGTGGGGAAGAAGTGTTGCATTGTAAATATTCATTAATATGTTCCTTGGGAGAAAATTCTTTAGTCTAGATAAGACAACAATACTTCTAGAAATGTAATTATATTTGTTAGTATTGTTGTTATTGTGATAATTTTAATCATTTGTGGTGCAAAGCATTTGAGTCAAGTCGTTCGTCTTCTTTGTGCATGGCTGATCGTCAACGAAACGGAGTTAAGTCTTTTGTCAACTCCGCTTGTTGCTACGGCAGGCAGCCAGTTAAAACGAATCGTTAAATCAAATTCTGGAAATGCAAGCATTACTTTAAACAAACGGAACTTCGTTATTCCTGGCACATTTTTCCTGATTGAGGGGTCATATGAAAGGGCAGAAAATGAACTTTTTAGAAATGTGATTTTTTTTTTCTTTGAAATTCAGATACCGCCCTAAAAATAAAAAGACTTTTTGGTACCCTCTCTTACTTATGCGTGAAATATGCATCATATGAGTTTCACCAACTGAAAGAGGAGGATGTAAGCTTTATTATGTGTCATTTATTAATTATACTTGTGATTAAGTTATGATAAAACATCGATAATTCTCGGTTCGTTTTTTCTGGGACGCACTGTATAGGTAGTACTCCATTAAATACATGCATCAATTGTTTTTATGACATTTTCCCCATGGAATCTCTTCTGTATCTATATAGTCTATAACAAGAATTTGTCTTCAATTCTGCATAAATAAAAAGTGGGGTAAAAATCTCACAGAAACTACATTTTAAGAAAATCATGATAATTAAATAGGTCTTTGAAAAAGATATTTCTTCCTCTCCGATCGCAGTTTAAATGGTTGGTTTGATTTAAAAAAAAAACAATGTATTGCATCCATAGTGTTTCACATTACAGTTTAGTAAAATTTCGTAGTTTGTTTTGTATTTGAAACGTGAAGATGGACCTATTATTTTGACATGCATCAAAGTCAGTCGTTAACAAAAAAAAACTCTCCAGACTAACACTCCCACCCCCCCCCCCCCCCCATCCACCCTCTCCAACACTGGAGAAAAAGTTGTCCTGCCTATTGGCAGCGGATGCAATTGATTAACTTGGGTTCTCCATTTCTCTCGTCAATTATTGTTATATTGTATCAAGCGCTTAGCCAGGATTTCATTTTAGGGGGGGCGGTCAAAGAGATTCGATCATACACAGTATGTCCTCCGTAGGAGGACTAGAGGGCCAACTAAAATCGTGACCTTTGACATTTCATAGGTTTTGCATTGGATGCATTATGGGGGTTTTGTCCGATTTGAACGACGGTTTTGGAGGGTCAATGAATATTCATGAGCAATGACGTAAAAAAAACGCCAACTACTGTTTGTTGATTGGCCATCGACAAAATGTTTTATGTATTAGGTCATGCATAAAACATTTTTTGCATTCCCAGAATTCCCTACGATTTCAGCACGAAAATGGCGGTTGTATGAACTGCAACTTTCAAGTTATTCAATTACGAACAATGAAACATTTTTCTTTTAAGTGAATTTATATTATAATAGAAGTTTGTCAAGTACATCTCAGTGAAGCAGAAAATCTTCAGGCGAACACTGGCATCGAAGTGATACCCTATGATATCAAGAAAAGTAAGTAAAGATCCATTTTGTGTGAAGGTCTCTGAAATGATTGTGATGTGTTCGTCATTGCAGTGAGCGGCTCTCCGCATTGTCACAACGTATTACCCGGTTAACCCCCTACCCCATCCTCTTTTCTTTCTTCTGACCAAAGAATATTAACTGATTGAATGAACTCTAATTTAAGTCATCGACGGTAGTATTTTCAGAAACAATCAGGAGTTTACCGTAGGTTATTTCATTAGAGCACATCTCATAATTTTAAGTTCAGTTCATAGCTTGATTACCGATAGTAATCGGTCGTAGATGTGGACCTGTTGGAGACTGCGCAAATGGCTCATTGCTAGTCCAAGCCGATGAGATCTCGTCGAGCGGAATATGATTTTCAATCCGCCGGTGCTAGCCGGCTGTAACACCAAGAAGCGACTGCGTGTCCTGAGCTGGCGCGGCTATGACTTTACAGTGTGTTAGTGTTACAGTAAAGCCTAGATCTAGACTAGTATTCATAGCATATTCTAGCCTGAATTTTCTGTCTCTTTCGTTCGTTAGCCTCTGATTTGGGTAGGGTCGGCTCCTCTCTTTAGCCGACCCTACCCAAATCAGAGGCTAACGAACGAAAGAGACAGAAAAATTCGGGCTAAGCAGGCCTAGATCTAGACAGCAGTAACCATCTGATTTGGGTCATTTCTTTAATAAAACTGACATTTGTTGTCATATAATCGGAGGTCTAGTGGAGCCAGACGTAGTCTCAGTG